AAAAAAACCTTGGACTTACATATCAATCCATTCTTTTACTACTGTTTTGAAATGAATCGTATGTCAGATACCAAATTTCCATGTGTGTGGGTCTCTCCTTGGACTCTCTATTCTGTTCCATTTATATATTTATTTGTTCTACCCAATTCTGTTTTAATTACCGTTACTTTATAATGAGTCTTGAAATCATGTAGGACAAATTTCTTACTTTGTTCTTCTTTAGGAGTCTCTATTCTTAAGTCTTTGCTTTTATAAAAGTGTAAGTTTTTTTTTGGCCGGGGCTGGGTTTGAACCTGCCACCCTTACCATATGGGGCTGGCGCCCTTACTCCTTGAGCCACAGGTGCCAAACTTGTAAATTTCCTAAGTCAGCTTCTTCAGTTCTGTGAAACGCCCTTGTTAAGTTTTTAGTAGAATTGCATTATATATGCAGATTAATTGGGAAGATTTTAGTATTTTATATCAACTCTTAACCATCCATGAACATGATACTCTTTTATTTAGATCTTTTATTTCCATCCATCAAAAAAGTTTTATTTCTTCATAGAAATCAGGACATTGTCTGTTAAATTTATTCTTAGCACCCTATAGTTTTTGTTGCTTTTATGAAGAATATCTTAAAATTGTATTTCCTAATAGACATAGCTAATGTATGATAATTTTTTTTATTTTTCAGTGTTGATATTCTATCAGTAACCCTACCAAACTCTCATTTAAGCAGTCATTTATGATTCAATATACTTCACTTTCTTTTTATTCTTTTGTTTCTCATTTTTTCCCCTTGAGTTATTGCACTGGCCGTGTCTCTGCTACAGTATTGGTGTCTAACAGTTACATAAACAATGATGACATTATGACCTTGTTCTTAAAAAAGTTCATGGACAGGGTGGGATTTCCAATAGGAGGCAACAAGTTTGAAAAGCAGCGTTTGCTGATTTTTTATTTTGCCTGTGGCTGCTCCCCAAACTCTATACCTTCCTGTGGATGGCTGGCGCTACCCTTGGCAGGAAATTTCCAAGATGGAAATGTTGTCCTTCCCTAGATATAATGTAGCTGAGATTAGGATTCATATTTATAACAAGATTTTAATAGAAGCTGATGCCTGAAGTCTTGTACATGATCTATATGAAAGCCTTAAGAGTAGTTAGAATAAAACAAAACTAGTATATCCAGAAGACCAAAATTCACACTGTAACAAAAATATTTGTACCAGAATGTTTATTGCAGCCCAATTCATAATTGCTAAGTCATGGAAGAAGCCCAAGTGCCCATTGACCACGAATGGATCAATAAATTGTGTGATATATACACCATGGAATATTATGCAGCCTTAAAGAAAGATGGGAGACTTTACCTCCTTCATGTTTACATGGATGGAGCTGGAACATAGTCTTCTTAGCAAAGTATCTCAAGAATGGAAGAGAAAGTATCCAATATACTCAGGCCTACTATGAAACTAATTTATAGCTTTCATATGAAAGTTATAACCCAATTGTAGCCCAAGAATATAAGGGAAAGGGAGGGGAGGGGAGGGGGAGTACGGGAGGAGGGAGGGTAATTGGTGGGACCACACCTATGATGCATCATACAAGGGTACATGTGAAACTTACTAAATGTAGAATATAAATGTCTTAACACAATAACTAAGAAAATGCCATGAAGGCTGTGTCAACCAGTTTGATGAAAATATTTCAAATTGTATATAAAACCAGCACATTGTACCCCATGACTGCATTAATGTACACAGCTATGATTTAATAAAAAAAAAAAAACTATTTACCTTTGGGATAAGAAAAGGAACAAGTTCATTGAGCCACCATTAAACTTTACATTACATATGAAGTCTGACAATTAAGTTTGCAAACTCATCCTAGAAAAAGTGGTACATACCTCATTGCTGAATATCACTACTGAATATCAATAGTTACCTTCAAAGTACTCCCCTTAAGAAGCAGTGCGCTGATACCAGCACATAGCCCACCTTTAAAACCAATTTTGGAACTCTTTCTGGAATAGCCATCAGAGCTGTCAGTGTTTCAGGTCTGACAATTAAGTTCTTGAACACATCCTAGAAAAACTGCTTTAAAGGGTGATAAGGTGCTGGCATCAGTGCATAACTTTCCAAAGTGAGTACTTCAAAAGTGACTATGGTGATAATTCAGCAATGAGATACGTAGCACGTTTTCTAGGATGAGTTTGCAAACTTAATTGACCTCATATTGTAGGCTTTATTTTTTTTCTAAGCCAGAAATCTGGATTTTATTCTTTTTTTAATTTCAAAATATTAAGATTTTTGTTACATAGGTAGCTTTTGCAATGCTTGAGTCAAGGCTGTAAGTATGTCCATCACCTAAATAGTGTTCACTGTCCCCATTAGGTAGGATTTTACCCCTCTGCTCTTTCACCATCCCCCCTGCTTGATTTCCAATGACATACATCCTTCTGTGCACCTTGAGGCCCCTTGGTTAATTCATTTTATTAGAGAGTATATATGGTGGTGGATTTTGTCCATTTTGGGGGTACTTCACTTAGGACAATGCTTTCTAGTTCCATCTAAATTTCTGCAAAAGGCATTAATTCATCCTTCTATGACTGAGTAGTACTCCATAGTATATATATGCCACACTTTGTTAATCCACTCAAGAGTTGATGGGCATTTGAGTTGATTCCACATCTTTGCAATTGTGAATTGTACTGCAGCAATCATTCAAGTGCTGGTGTCTTTTTGATAAAAATGACTCTCTTCCTTTCAGTAGATACCCAGTAGTGGGATGGCTGGATCAAATGGTAGGTCTACAGTTAGGTCTTTGAGAAATCTCTATACTGTTTTTCACAAAGGTTATACTAATTTTCAGTCCCACCAAGAGTCCAGAAGCACTTCTTTCTCTCTGCATCCACACCAGCATCTGTTGCTTTTGGATTTTTTAATAAAAACCATTTAAACACAGGTGAAGTAATATCTCATTGTGGTTTTAGTTTGCATTTCCCTGATGGTTTGTGATGCTGAGCATTTTTTCATGTGTTTGGCCATTTGTCTGTCTTCTTTTGAAAAACTTCTGTTCATGTCTTTTGCCCACTTTTTAGTGACATTTTTTTTTTGTTACTAATATGAGTTCTTTGTAGATTTTGGATATTGGTCCTTTACTGAGTATATAGTTTGCAAATATTCTCTCCCATTCTGTAGGCTGTGTGTTTGCTCTGTTGATTGTTTCCTTAGCTGTGCAGATGCTTTTTACTTTAATCAGACCCCATTTATTTATTTTTGTTATTGCTATAATTGCCTTTGGAGTCTCAGTGGTAAATTCTTTGTCTAGGCCAATATTTAGAAGAGCTTTTTCCTACATATTCTTATAGAATTCTTATTATTTGATGCTTTATATTTAAGGCTTTTATCCATCTTAAATTAATTTTTCTGAGTGGTGAGAGAAGTCCTGTTTTGTTCTGCATGTAGCTATCCCATTTTCCCCACACCATTTACTGAATAAGGCTTATTTTCCCTGGTATATGTTGTCTGCTTTGCTGAAGATCAGTTGGCTCTTGGGTCTGTGTCTCTATTTGTGTGCCGTTCCTTGCTGTATTGGTAGTATTAGTTTGAAGTCAGATAATTTGATGCCCCCAGATTTGTTCCACTTGCTAAATATTGCTTTGGCTATTCAGGCTCTTTTCTGATTCCAAATAAGGCATGGAATTATTTTTTCTAGATCTGTGAAATATGACATTGGTATTTTGATGAGGATTGCGCTGAATCTGTAGATCACTTTAGGTAGCATGGACATTTTACAATGTTGATGGCTCAGTGCCTGTGGCTCAAGTGGCTAAGGTGCCAGCCACATACACCCAAGGTGGTGGGTTCAAATCCAGCCCAGGCCCACCAAACAACAATGACGGCTGCGACCAAAAAATAGCCAGGCGTTGTGGCGGGTACCTGTGGTCCCAGCTACTTGGGAGGCTGAGGCAGGAGACTTGCTTGAGCCCAGGAGTTGGAGGTTGCTGTGAGCTGTGATGCCATGGGACTCTACCCAGGGGGACAGCTTGAGGCTCCTGTCTCAAAAAAAAAAATGTTGATTCTACTTATCCATGAGCATATGTTTTTCCATTTGTTTGTGTCATCTGTGATTTCTTTACTTAGTGTTTTGTATCTCTTGTAGAGATCTTTCACCTCCTCAGTATTTTTTCTTGTAGCTGTTGTAAATGGTATTGAGTCTTTGATTTGATTCTTAGCTTGACTGTTAAACTGATATATAGAAATGCTACTCATTTGTGTACATTGATTTTGTACCTGAGACTTTTCTGAATATATTTATTAATTCATGGAATCTCTTGGTGGGGTCTTTAGGATTTTCTAAATACAAAATCATATATTCAGTGAAAAGCAATAATTTGACCTCCTCTTTCTTGATTTGGATATTCTTTAATATCTTTCTCTTGCCTGATTGCTCTAACTAGAATTTCCAGCACATTCTTGAATAGAAGAATTCTATTTTTCTATTCTTGCCTCTCTTGTTCCCATTAGGGGAAATGCTTTCAATTCTCCATTCAATATGATGGTGGCTATGGATTTGTCATATATGGCTTTTATAATTTTGAGGCACTTTCTAAGCTTTAGAAGGTGTCTGGGTTTCTTAACCTTCCATTTGGGACAAGAATTTCTTAACCTTCTATTTGCAAAATTATTTCTTTGTTGTGAAAGGCTGTTCTGCGCATTGTGGGATGTTTAGAAGTGTCCTTAACCTACCCATATTTATGACAGCCAAAAATATCTCCTAAGACTTCCAGATATTCCCTAGGGGGTAAAATTACCCAAGTTTGAGAATTACTGCCCTAAATCAATTAAGGAAGTTATTTTTGTTATGTTTACTAAGAGATTTTAATCATAAAAAATATTAATTTTAACAAATACTTTTGTATCTGCTGAAATTATAATTTCTCTCCTTTAATTTATTAATATCATAAATTCTGTTAGTTTTCTTTTTTTAGACAGTCTTACTCTGTTGCCCCAGGCTAGCATGCCATAGCATCATAGCTCACAACCTCAAACTCTTGAGATCAAGCACTCCTCTTGCCTTAGCCTCCTGAGTAGCTGAAACTATAGGCACCAGCCACAATGCCCAGCTAGTTTTTCTGTTTTTAGGAGTGATGGGATCTCACTCTTGCTCTCATTGTTCCCCTAAGCTCAGGTGATCCACTCACCTGGGCCTCTCAGAGTTCTAGAATTAAAGGCATGAGGCACCACCTCCAGCCTATTAGTTTCTAATGTTAATCTCTGATGCAATTTTCTGAACATATAGTCCATGAATTGTACAAAACTACGATACTTTTCTTCAGTTTTGGGAAGGCAAACATTAAAAAAAACATGTGTTAGACCCCGTGTTACCAGTTGAATTTTAATTGCTCTGTTACAGTTTATTTTACTTATCTTACTGTACAGCTTGCCTATTTTATTAATGATCTGGTTTTAAGTAATCTTTTTGGAGGATCCCTCTTTTTCTTTGAACAATCAGGTGTTATTTGTACTTTCTTCAGACATAGATAAATCACTTATAAATTTAGTATACAATTAACACATTTAAATGTCAAATTACTAAAATAACAACATTTGACAGATGCTTCAGTAAAAATGTATTTTAATTAAATGTATAACAAGGAGAGTTGAATGTTGATTATTTGTAAGTAGTAGGGAAATCAGATATGATTATTCATTCAGTTCTAAGTTCTTTTGCAAGCATTAACTATCTACTGCTGGTCTCCCCAATAGAAATAAGAAGTATGACACTATTCTAGCTGCCATTTTCCTATAAATATTCCCTTAGAGCTATGTTTTCATAATCCTTAGAGGTGATACATTTAGGACTGAAAGCAACTTCTCTAATGGTTGTTTTAGTATTACTAAGGAAATGAAACCACACAGAATTGGAAATACTATGATGACTTTAATAAATAGAGTTGGCAATAATATTAAAAAGAGGTAGAAAAATAGTATTTCTAATTATAAACCATAGTTTACTGGGTTTAGGTAATTAGAGATGAATTTTATTATGAATGATTTTAAAATATTTTTGCCTAAAATAAATTTTCTATTTTTATCTCCTCTTATGTAGTCACGTTCTATATCTAGCTCCCCTGTGATGGTAGCTCAGCCTGTTTATCAACAACCTGCATATCACTACCAGGTAAACATTAAATTACAGTTAAAATTCTCTGGTAATTTCTTGTCCTTTTTCAGATAATTTTCATTTATTCCTTTCTCATGCAACCATTCTACAAATTAAAAAGAGATAGTTAAGCCTTGATAGCATGTTTTTTTTTCTCTTTTATGAGAGAACTAAATAAATGTTATTCTAAAAGATAGATTGTTTACTCCTTTTACCAAATGTAATGAGGTCAGTTTTGCTCCCTCTGGCTAACATTTAATCTAAAAGATACAGGTATTAAACCACAAGTTTGTTTTTTAATGTACTGTTAACACTGTGTCAGTTTTCATGCTGTAATATTTAACATGGCATGTATTAAAATGAGTAATATATAGTGGTTTGTTATATATTATGACAACCTTTTTTAGTTAAACAGAACTCTTCCTTTCATTAATTCTAGTGGGAAGCTGGGGATAAGTGAACTATAAGGTCAGACCATTTTAGTCTATAGCAGAGTAGACCAAATACAGCCAGCAGCCTGTTTTTGTAAATAAAGCATTATTGGACCACAGTCTCATCTGTTTGCTTACTGTCTGTGGCTGTTTTTGTGCTATAGTGGAAGAATTGAGTAGTTGCAAGAGAGATCTTATGCCTGCAAAGCTTAAAATATTAAAATACACTCTAACCCTTTATTTAAACAAAAAAAAAAATTGCCAACCTCTAGTCTATAGCATTCAGCTGTAAAATCATTCTTTCATAACCTCTGGAATAGAAGATGAGCTTTATATTTCTGTTGCTTTTTTTTATTTGAACTTTTTAAATAGACCCATATGAAATGTTAAGGTTACTAGAACCCTTTTTACTATTAGATTTGGTTGAGGGGGTCAGTTATTTTTTAATTTTATTACCCTGCTAAAAATTAAAAGTGTTTCCTTCACTTACTAAAAATGAACGTAACAATAGCATTTATTTAAAATACATATGTAGTATGATTTTTCCTAAGCTGTCTGTCTCAGAATTTCAGCAGAGACCCCCAAAGACAGAGACAGTACCAAATCATTTGCTAAAACAGGCCAAAAATTGTGAAACCAGTTTTGAGACTTTAGCTCATTGTTTACCTTGAGCACGTATGAGAGGTGGTTGAGATTGATAGAGAAGATTGGCAACAAGGCTTACAACAAGAGAGCTGTTAGACTGCTTTTGCCTTTTCCCTCTTCCCTCACCAAGTAAATTACATAAGGCAGTAGCTCACTTAATATATCTGTATTATGAAATGTTTCTAATATGCTTTAATTTTACACACTGACTCTGGTTTTCTGCTTGACACAAATTATAAAATTGAAGGTATGTTGTCTAGATATACTCAGGAATGATTTTGGCACAATAATATATCATGATATTTTGTAATATAAAAATTCACTTCAGGTATTGCTTTTCAGTTACATACTATCATTCTGCCCTTAAAATTGCCACTTTAAGGCTATGTTAACCAGTTTGGTGAAAATATTTCAAATTGTATATAAAAGCAGCACACTGTACCCCATAACTGCATTAATGTACACAGCTATGATTTAATTAAAAAATTGCCACTTTAATAAGAATCTTTCTTTGCTCTTTCTTTTTACAAATTCTAAGATTGAGACTTTCGTCGGTTTGTTAGTCAAAGCAGGTACTGCATAGTTTTATTGGTACTACCTCCTTCATGTTATTTCACCCTCCATAGGTAGACAGTGGTTTAACTTATCTAACAGATTCACACATTGATCATTTTATTTCAAGATGTTTATTAAAGTATTTTCCTAAGAGATACATATTATCCTGCATTTTGGATATATTATATAAAAAATAGACTTTGCATTATCTTGGTCATTATTTTAGTATAGTAATACTCCGTGGCAGCTGAAGTAGTGAGGACTAAATTTAAAGTGGTTTGGTTTAGATAGTAGATCCATGGGATTATCTTATTCCTTTTTTCTGTTTTTTGAATTTAAAATTGAAAAAAAAAACTATTGAAAGTGAATAACAAGAATAAAACATTCATTATTAGGAAATAATACAAACTATCTTAAGAAATAAAAAGTCTATCCTTTATATTTTCTTCTTACAATAAGTACCTTAAATGAATTGACCTTTTTTAATAACAACTATATTTAGATACAATTCACATAATGTACAATTCACCTATTAAGATATAATTGAGTGCTTTTTACTAAATTCAGAGTTGTGCAACAATAGAATCAATTTTTGAACATTTAAGTCACATCTCCCCTACAAAAAAATAAAATTTATATCTTTTAGCAGTTATTCCTCTTTTCCCCCCATCCCAATCCTAGGCAACCAGTAATCCATTTCTTTGTTTTTATAATTTGCCTATTCTGGATATTTCATATGAAAAGAATCATACAATATATGGTCTTTCACAACTGGTTTCTTTTTGTTACCATAATGTTTTCAAGATAGATTTATCTATGTGGTGATATACATCAGTACTTTATACCTGAAGAATATCTTATTGTATGGATATACTGAAACGACGTTTTGTTTATGCATTCATCAGATGATGAACAGGATTGTTTCTACTTTTTGGCTGTTAGGAATAATGCTAGGATGGACATTTGTACACAAGTTTTTGTGTGAACATATGTTTTCATTCTCTTAGGTCTTATACCTAAAGTGGAATTGCTGAGTCATACGGTAATTTTATGTTTAACTTTTAAGGACATTTCAGACTACTTTTCTGAAAAAAGAGCTGCACCATTTCATATTCCTACCAGCAGATTAAGAAGGTTCTAATTTCTCCACATACTTGCCAACACTTATGATTTACTTTTTTGATTATGGCCCTCCTAGTGGGTATGAAGTGGTATGTTGTGGGTTTGATTTGTATTTCTCTGAAAACTAATCATGTCAAGCATCTCTTCATGTGCTTATTGGTCATATGTATGTTTTCTTTGGGGAAGTCTATTCATGTCTCACCCATTTTAAGTTGGGTTACTTACCTGTTTATTATTAAGTTGTAAGAGTTCTTTATATATTCTTGATATAAGTTCTTTATTTTCTTCCATTCTGTCAGTTAGATTTTAATTTCTGCAAAAGTTTTGATAAAGTCCAATCTATTTTTTCTTCTGTTGCTTTGCTATTTGTGCTTTTTGCTGTCATAATTTTTAAAACATTTCCTAATTCAATATCACAAAGATTTATGCCTATGTTTTCTTGTAAGAGTTTTATAGTTTTAGATATTAACATTTAAGAATCTGATCCATTTTCAGTTAATTTTTGCTTTTCTTAAATTTTTACCTATGTTTTGAGGGTTCAACTTGATTTTCTTGCATGTAGATGTCCAGTTTTAACACTTGTTATAATCTGAGTGGTTTATTGGTTTTATTTCTTTCTTTTTTTTCCATTTTAGGGCCCTGCACAGTGTCTACCAGGACAGTGGCAGTGGGGTGTTCCTCAGGTAAATATCAACTTTCAGTATTTAATTTAAAAGCCTTATTCATTTGTATTCTTGTGAAAACTGCATGAATACTAAAGTCAGAAACTTTGTAAGTTCCCTTATATGATTTTTGTAAAAATCAAATGAGATTTTGTAAGGGAAAGCATTTTATAAATGAGTACTATATAAATGTGAAAATTGCCCTTTTTTATTATTACTATTATTTGACTATTTAGCATTTGTCTAGATTAATTTCAGATTTTTCTTAATTTTGACTTATGCTCCTAAGCAAGTGTGCCATTTTCCAGATTTGGTAATAAATAGTCCAAAAAGACATTTTTCCACTTCTGTGAGAAATCACCATGGTGAGAGTTGATGTCTGTGCCAGTTTAAATGCCATAATTTATATTACTATCGCCTTTAGTGGTGATCTTAGTATATACATAATTACTATCAGAATTTATGTATGAGATCCTGAGGTACTAAGGACATTTAGTACTTACCAGTGATAAAATTCTTTAACGACATTTACACAGTCTGAATTTTTATCAACCCAGAGTTTCTACTCTGTTGCTAAGATACTTCTCTGTACTATCCCTGAAAAAGAATTTTAGAAAAATACGAAACAAATATTTTTCTCATCTGTTGGGTAAGTCATTTAGAATAGTCTATTAGAAATTACCAATCATATTTGAATTAGAAATATGGTTTTGTGTTTCAGTCTCCTGCCTCTTCTGCACCATTCTTATACCTGCAACCTTCTGAAGTTATTTATCAACCAGTGGAAATTGCACAAGATGGTGGATGTGTTCCTCCTCCACTGTCTCTGATGGAAGCTTCAGTTCCAGAGGTATATATTGGTCTTTTTTTTTTTTTTTTGGTTTTTGGCTGGGGCTGGGTTTGAACCCGGCACCTCCAGCATATGGGGCCAGCGCCTTACTCCTTTGAGCCACAGGTGCCACCCCGGTATATATTGGTCTTAAAGTAATTGATCTATCACTACCTTAAGATTTCTTTTTAAAGTTTGTTCAAGACCCTCATTGAAGCCACTTCATCTTAATTTTCTTTGATTTATTCACTTCTTTTCTCCTTTTTTATATCTAAAAATGCTTCATCTTAGACTTCTTCATAAACTAGTTCTGAACCATTCCCCAAGTCACCTGTTCACTCCTCTAGACTAATCTTTTACTCAAGCTCTTTGAAATAGTAAAATACCAAATGCTTTTCCCTCTCTTTTTGTCTGAGCATACAATTAAGCCAAAAAAGAAAAACATTATTTAAAAATTCTTTCTTCATGGCCGGGTGTGGTGGCTCATGCCTATAATCCTAGCACTCTGGTCGGCCAAAGCAGGTGGATTACCTGAGCTCAAGAGTTCAAGACCAGCCTGAGCAAGAGCGAGACACCCATCTCTAAAGATAGCCAGGCTTTGTGGTGGTCACCTGTAGTCCCAGCTACTCAGGAGGCTGAGGCAAGAAAATTGCTTGAACCCAAGAATTTTGAGGTTGCTGTGAGCTGTGACACCACAGAACTCTACTGAGGGTGACAAATTGAGACTCTGTCTCAGAAAAAAAATTCTTTCTTCAAAAATATAAATTAAATTTAGGCTTAGCACCTGTGGCTCATGTGGCTAAGGCGCCAGCCACATACACCTAAGGTGGTCGGTTCGAATCCATCCCCACCTGCCAAAAGAACAATGACAGCTACAACCAAAACATAGCCACGTGCTGTGGCGGGTGACTGTGGTCCCAGCTACTTGGGAGGCTAAGGCAGGAGACTCGCTGGAGCCCAGGAGTTGGAGGTTGCTGTGAGCTGTGATGCCACCACACTCTACCCAGGGAGATAGCTTGAGGCTCTGTCTCAAAAAAATATATATATATATAATATATATAAATTAAATTTATAACTACAAATTATATACATTATCTTCAGTGTCTTTAAATTATACTCCTGATTCATTACAAATAGCTTTACCATCTGTGTGCCAGGAATTATGCATGGTATGTTTTAAACGGTGTTATAGAGAGATGAGCAAATTAGTACTCACCTCCCACTTTGACTGGATTGTTTATTTTTATATTGCTAAGGTTTATAACATTGCAATTTTGTTCTGAATCAATAATCCAATTCACAGTTGGATGTTAATGTTTACCATTAGTATATTTATTAGGATTTTTCTATTCTTTGTCTCATCCTCTCCCTTAATTTTTTTGTGGTTACCTTTTTCCCCCCAGATTTACTGAAGTGTAATTGACAAATATGGTATAAAATATACAACATAATGTTTTGATACATGTATACATTGTGAAATGATTACTCCAATCAAGCTAACCCATCATCTCACACAGTTGTCTCTTTTTATTTGTGATGAGAACATTTAAGATGTATTCTTAGTGATTTTCAAGTATATAATAGATTAACAGTAGTCATCATACTATACAGTAGATTTCCAGAACATATTCATTCTGTCTAACTGAAACTCTGTACCCTCTGGCCAACATCTCCCCATCCCCTGTGCCTACCCTTGGCAACATCTCTCTGCTTCTGTGAATACAACTTTGTCATATTCCACATGTAAGTGAAGTCATGTGGTATTTGTCTTTCTCTGTCTGGCTTATTTCACTAAGTATAATGTCTGCCAGATTCATCCATGTTATCACAAATGACAAGATTTTCTTCTTTTTTAAGGCTATATTAGAATTCCATTGTGTATTTAGATATCAAATTTTCTTTATCCATTTATCTGTTGAAAGACCCTGAGGTTGATTCCTTAGGGGCTATTATGGGTAATGCTCCGATAAATATGGGGGTGCATATAGCTTTTAGACATCATTTCATCTTTTTTTCGATATATACCCAGTAGTTGGATTGCTAGATCATACGGTAGTATTTTTAATTTTTTGAGAAACCTCCATATTATTTTCAAAAATGGCTGTACTAATTTACATTCTCATCAACAGTGTGCAGAAGTTCCCCTTTCTCCACATCTTCATTGGAAGTCATTTTGGTTCCTAGTAAAGTCCCTTTTTATCACAGGTTTTCTGTATTGGTATGTAATAATTGCTACTTCCTTTCCTACCTTCGCCTTGCTTCACCTCCACTGGTATTCCTCAGCTAAAAGCTAGATAGTAAACACTGGCTTATTTGTGAAACGAGGACACAAGGAAAATCTATTTTGCAGGATTGATGTAAAGTGTAGAGAAGTTGTATACAGAGCTCTTTGCATAGTGCCTAGCACCCCATAAGAGGCAATTGCCATCCTATGACACACATTGCCACCCATGCCCTAATTCTCATCTACCTTTCAAAGCCAAGCTTTCTAAAACAGTAGCCTACATTCAGTATTTCTACTGCCTTCACTATCCATTTACCTCTCGCCTGTGACATTATCTTTCTGCTGAAGCCACTTTTGAAAAAGGTCCTCAGTGACTTCCCAATTGCCAAATACTTTCCTTTTTAATTTTATTTGACCTCTCAGAGACATTGTATGTACTCAAACTCTTCTAGCCTTGGTTTCCATGATTCTGCTCTCTCCCTGGCAATCCTTTTATATGCTTTTATTTTTCATTGTAAGATGATCTTTTGCTTCCCTTGATTTCATATTTGATTCATCATTACTCCGCCCTGTGTATTTACTCTGTTGTTATCCTCCATACCTATATCTGTAGCTCCAACCTCACTTGTGAGTTAGAATAATAGCCACAAGGCAGATGTGATGATTGAGACTTGAAATGTGGCAAGACTGAATTGAGATGTACTATAAAATACATACTAGGTTTTGGAGACATAGCATGAAAAATAAATAAAATATCTTGATAATTTTTGTATTTATTATACATATACTTTTATGTGATACTTTAAATATATTGCTTTAAATAAAGTAACTAAAAATTAATTTCAGCTCTTTTTCTAACATGAATACTAGAAAATTTCAAGTAATATATGTAGCTCTCATTATACCTTTTTTTAAGAGATAGGATCTCACTCTGTTGCCCCTAAGTAGCTGGACTACAGGTGGGCACCACCACACCTGGCTAATTTTTCTCATTTGTTTGGTAGCAACGGGCTCTTGTTATATTGTCCAGGCTTATCTCAAACTATTAGCCTCAAGCAATCCTCCTGGCTCAGCCTCCTAAAGTGCTGGAATTACAGCCATGAACCACTGTGCCCAGCCTCACAATATATTTCTATTTACTGGTCTGTTCTAGAGCCATCAATCTTTCTTTTTTTTTTTTTTTTT